TGTAGGTGAACAATGTTTTGATACCGGCCTTTGAGGGTTTTCAAATCGTGGTCACGGTTTCTGAAGTGTCGCGGCGAGTCGATATATCAGGCTGTCCCAAAAGATTCTTTCGTTTTACAAGGAAATAATAGATGCACGACATTTTCTGTTTCCTATTATTTTATCGAATTACGTATGATCCATTTTGTTCGATCGGAATATAAAACAAGAAATGTTATTCATCCATTGTTTCCTTATAGAACGAAAGGAACCTTCGGGACAACTGAATAGATTCTAAGATGTTTCAGAATATTCCGTAAGTAGGAACGTTGGATTTAGTACGGACGTCGATGGTGATTATTTGCTAGCAATGAAAATAAATTAAAACTGTTACCTTCAATTTGTTATATACAGAATATCTCATAATCTACAACGTATAGCGTTTTATATAAGACAGACGTTCAGTGGTACCCATCGAGTCTCTCGAGGTTTACGAAACTTCTAAAAGACCTCCGGGGCTTATCGAAATTTTAAAAGCTTACAGATTCGTCACCTATTAGCGTATAAAAAGGCAAAGCTTTAAGAATCAAATTTTCACAGTATCGGGGACCTTTCGAAATCGACCAACAGCCAACCGCTCGTTATCTGCCAGTTCCTGAGAGTTCCTAATGTCTAGCAACGAATTCGTCTTTGTCTCATACTACTTGTCCAGCTGCTAAGCAACTCTCTCCTTTCCAAGATTTATCGAAACTTTGAAAACCAGAGATTCGACACTTATCAAGGGTTCCAAATGTTTCGAGCATCAAATTCTCGCAATATTGAAATCTTTCGAAATTAACGTTCGAACGTCCATCGCCTACTCTAAGGAATTGATAGCGTCTGACTACCAATTAACCTTTGTCCCCACTCCTCCACCTACTACTATCATAATTCTCCCCTTTCTTCACCCACTATCTCAGTCATTCTGCACTCCAGGCTATCTCCATAAAGACTCTGTATCTCCTCTGGCTTGTTGAGGCGAGAGCCAGGGAAAATCCCCTTAGCGTGCTTTCGAGCGCCGGTTAATCGTCGGATCATGCAAGTTTCCAGTCGTCGAGTCAGCGCGAAGAATCTCCGGCAATTTGTTCGGATCTCGGTGTAATCCGGTCGTCGCGCCACGGTTCTTGTTCATCGCGGCTGTCTAAAGGTCGCGACGTTGTTTCGCCAGCCAGCGAAATGTCGAGCCTCTCCCCTGGCCCAGTCATCATTCCTATAGTTACGTCCAACGAGTCGAGCCTCACAATCGCGATTTCACGAAATATTCGCAAGTAAAACGTTTGATGGATGCGATGGGTTTAGTTTACGCTACTGGCCCACCGATCTTGCTGAACCGTTCATATTCAGAAAGAAATTTACGCGGAAACATCAAACTCTAATGCCGTTTCACGTGTCTTTTTAACACCTTGTATATAAGATGGTTGCAAGAAACGTTCGCGCGTACCTTCAGCGTCTCAAGACAACTTCTGATTGTCTGTTCTCCAGTTAAAATATTTGATATTCCCTGCCATTTTCTTGTTGTGAATTAACTTGGAGTTTTATGATCACGTATTAATCGTATAGCTGCCTATTGAAATGAAAAGATTCCGGAAGACTCTATCGGACATGTAAACTTAATCAATTTCTTTATTTCGTTACGTGAGTACTCGATTGATATTCGATTCTCAAGAAACAAAAGATTCGCTTTCGTAGTTATTTGTCGCCATATTTATCGCACGCGAAGATGACACAAGTACGTACGTGCTAAGGTAAATTTAAAAGGCGACGTCCGTAATTCGAGAAACTAAGTAGAAATTTATTTCATCCTCGAATATTGTACCGAGTACTGTACTTCCCACATTTTCTATATTTCCGTACGCACCGCGTGTACTTTGTACATTTTTGCAATTTAAAATTGCCGCGTAAAAATGCGCAGCCTAATCGTCGCTTTTCCGTACTTTCCAATTTACCAAGTCGATCAGCGCGGCTTCCATACGCCCCGAATATTATAAACCGCCATCTATCGTTTCCCATAGAAATTCCATGTTTGGACTAAACCGAGAACCGCTTACTCGTTCACTTTCTCGTACGTTAGCCGCGTGTCCCTTTATTCGATCTAATCGCGCCTTTTCCAGCTAAAATATCCGATATTGCCAGCGCGTTGCTCTTCCTCGAAAAAAAGAAGAGGAAGAAGCCAGGGGAATGAGCTGAGATCTGGCGGCGAGAGAGCGCGGGAAACGACACATAGACAGGCTCTCGAATCTAACACCGTTCCTCGTAAAGCAACGGATCGCCTCGTATAAAATAAAAGGGGACAGATTAACGGCCGTGAACGTGGGGGCCTGCTCTCTCGCGTGTGCATGCATTAGACGTGTGCACGACCCTCCCACGCGCCACCGCCTCTTTCTCTTTCCCTCGATTTCTTTTCTCCCTCTTTCTTCCTGTTCGACGCTCCGAGAGTATCACGTGTTCCCGCGAATTTAATTGCCTCCATAAATATCGCGGGCCTTCCATGGCCGAGCAACGTTAAAATACGACGGAGGATCGAGGTCCTAACCCCTTCTCCTTCTCACTCTGTCCATCTATCTGCCTATCTCTCTTTCGAGGAACTCATCCCGCTGGGGATTCGCGATGCAAGAGAAAAAGTGGATCGTTCCGAATGGTAGACGATGATGATGGCGAGCAAGGTGGCTTTTGATTGGGAATGTACAGCGTTGCGAGACTTCCAGAGGATTGTAAGGGGCTGCGCGATGTGTGGTTGAATTTTTGTTAATGGACGGTGATGGGCTCTGTTAGACACTCGCGAGCGTCCTTTTTTTTTTGGAGAACGTCTTTCTTTTATATTGGACGCATACTGAGCCTCGTAACTATAAAACTACTCTGCAGTGTTTTATTCTTATCCGGATACGGGATGTACAAGGTACAACAGGACCAAACGTGAACAGAAATTTACTAAGTTAAACTTAGAGTCGAACTTTGTGGAAGCGACGAGTCAGCAAACGAGGATGCGTTTATTCGAGTTATCGTTACGATCTCGGTTTATTTCGTGTGCCGAGTTCAATTTCTGTCTCGATAAGATATTCCGTTTTACTGATTCTACCGATTACGCGTAGTCGTAGTGAAACTAATTTCCCAACATTTGGTAAATCTTCCGCGAGGCTGAGTACATACGTAGAAGAACGAGATACATCCGAGTTTGTTCGCAAGGATACAACAAGAATCGTCGATCTATGTATGTGTCGTTGGAGATCAAATACATACAAGGTATCGCAGTTTTTTCTGGCTGAATATTGTCGGTATATTCTATAGGTCAACGTGAGGAATAAATGTCATATGGATATATGTATGTGGTTGGAAGCATTGTTAAAGAGTTATAACGAAGAAACGACGTACAGAATGAACAGTAACGAACTGCGTTACTACGGTTTAAAGTATGAATGGGTCGAGAATATTTGCATCTGGTAGCAGTCAGAGGCTATTGTAATACTTGTACAATTCCAACCACAACTCTATTTTAAAATGTTCACCATTTCCCTGTCAATACAAGATTGGCAGCGAAAAAAATTGAATTTATTTATTACTCGTTGAAGTTGAAGATGTAGATTACAATACTTTCTGGCTATCACTAGCTGTACACGCATTTCGATCTATTCGTATTTTTCATCGTATTGACTCGCGTTCGTCATCGCTAATTTTTGTACATTGTTCTCTTCTTTTGTTACAACTCCTCAACGATACTTCCAACGAAACATATGTTTCTGCGACATTTTTGTCTTACTTTCGCCAATGGAATATACTGACAACGTTTAACAGGAAAAAGACTGCTACACGTCGCGTGTATCGTTTCAATAAGGAAGAAATATCTGGAACTACGTATACGCGGGTCCTCTGATCCGATGTTATTCCAAAGCAATCGAAATTAAACTCAGGACGATTATAAATACAACGACCAAGCCTGGCGAAATTCCAGCGAATCGCGTTCTTTATCCCGTGGACTTTACGTTCACTCACCTTCCTCCGCTTCCGTTTGTCCGGAACACGATGTTTGCCAAGAAATCGTGACCAGTTCTCTCGTTTCAATTTCCGTTTCGCGGAACCTTGACAGCTTCCGTTCATCCGTGACGGCCGGAAACTTCAGAAATTTACCGGCTCCGCGTGTTTCGAACGAATCTCCAACTTCTCTTCTGTCTTCCTCTTCTATTTATGTCGTGAAATTTCGAAATTTCCGCTTGCTTCCGGCGTGCAGAAGTTTAATTAAAAAATTCGACGAATAACTTTGCCAAAGATTATTGATTGTTGGCCCAAACTCGCAGATAGCAGGAAGATCTCGGAACAAGATGAATCATCGATCGAGCAATTTGTGGAAATATTTAGCAAATTTTTAAGTAACGCGCTAAAAATGATCAATAGTGTCTTTCTTGGAAAGACTTGGAAAATTTTTCCACGATACACTGTGTCTGTAATACGATATTAAAAGATCTATGAAATTTCTTAAGAGGTTGAGTTTGTAAATGGGCAGGAGTTTGGTGGTTACGTAGCGAGAAGCAAGTTTGTAAGTAAAACCAACTGGCTGTTGAAACCTCTGTGAAAAGCGTGTACCTAAAATGTGTCGTAAAGAGTAAGCGACGACGAGTATACTTGTGAAACACGTTTATAATATAGAATTACGTTGCCACGAAACGACTGTTCTATTTTTTAATCCTATTACTACAATCTACTTCAATTGCTAAATCGTAATTTAAACAGCAGAGTGTAACCACTTTTTACGCTTGACGCGTATATTCATGAAAAACAGCTAACTGATTAAAAGAGAGCTACGACGAAATGGAAAAATAATATAAAGAATTACATAGATACGAGTACTTATTTTTTCTCTAAGTAATATAGATATCTCGCGTAACTTAATTTAATCAAACTCTAACAATCTAACAGCAGACGTACGAAAATAATAGAAAGATAAAAGTGTAAAATTCCCTAAAACGTTCGAAACGATCGTTATGTTGCAGAGAGGTATGCGTGGACGAGGGGCAACAGTTATCGCTGGCGCATGGATGTCAATTCTACGAGGTCAGCGCGGCGGAGAGTCCTGCCGGCGCGGCTCTCGCGTTCCAGGCGCTGCTCCGAGAGGCGAGGTCGGTGCAGCTGCTACGAGCGCTTCCGATCCGCCGGAAGTTGGGCGTTCACTCGGTCTCAAGGGTACTCGGCACGATCTTCGGCAAGAACACGACGAAAGATCGGAAAAAGAGGCCCTCGTTGAGCATATGACGCCTCCTCTGCGCCCTCCTCCTCGGAGGTCGTGACGAACCCGACAGGAGAACCGACGTGGTCGTTCTCACCAGCAACGTCTACTCCAATCGCTGACGAGGACATCGTTAAGAAATCGTCTGACCAACATGAATCAGTCACGGTGACTCAAATTTTCCTCTCGAAGGACACGTTTAAGAAGATGAAGAAGAGAAGAGGAAGAATATGTTTGGTGTTCTCTGGACGCGACACAGTTCCTGGCGTCTTGATTCGTCTTCAAGAATGATCCTGAGGAACGCTGGGACGTTGCCTGGCGGACAGGTAAAGAAAACGCATCTACGGTAGAACCTCGATTGGCGTAGAATTACGAAAACGCAAGGGACTGAAAGTGCACAGGTGTCGAGGTTCGTGCAACGAACGAGGTAACCGATTGGACAGTTTACTCTACTTTTGTTATGGTGTTCGTGACGAGACTAGGTTGCAGCGGATGTACGTTTTGACGAATTGTCGTTCTGATCCGTGAAACGTATGCTCGTAAGTGGACCGCAGACTCTTGTACAAATTTGTATTTCGCAGAGTATCATTCAAGAAATAGTGGAACTTCGCGCTTTGAAATTTTACGTAAATGTATGAAAGCTATACTCGTAAGAACATAGATATATCCATGTTTGATTGCCTCGACGTATTCGTCAGAACACGCATCCACCAGAACACTTCACCACGGTGCAATTATATCAGTTGCGATTGGATTTCTCATATCGTCGCTCTTGGTCCCGTTTGTTCGTAACCGATTACGAGATACTATCCTCACAATGCGTTGCGGAATACAACGAGCGATGTACTTGCGCGGACGATCGAGGTTCTACCGTGTATCATCTCCCAGAAGAAGCTTCGTGACGTAAAAAGGAAAGATAATTGTACTTTCTGAGCGGACGAATGCGATCATTTTGTTGACTGTTCGTCGTTGGGTAGAGGGAGGCAGAGGGCGCAGGAGGCGCGTATCCGAACACCAGCTTCGTTTCACGTGCATGGAGTTTCGGGAGTTCGATCGAAAAACGAGAAAATCGTCGACCGGAGAAAATAGCTGTTTCCCTAGGGGAACTAAATGCAGGCGTTCTCGCGTCAGATTCTCGTGTGTTTACAGACGTTTTCATTTAACGTTCGATGGTGAAAATGGACAGTGAATCGAAGAGGAGGAGGAGGAGGAGGAGGAGGACAGTGTGAGAGATTGTGACGAGCGTGAAAAACGACGAATCGCAAGAAATTGATAGCGAGTAAGGTGGTCTTTGTTCGTCGAGTGCTTCGTGTTCGTTTTCCTTTTATTTTTCTCCCTTCTTTCCCCTTTCTACGTTCTTGTCGGTGTTGCAGTGGTCGAATCGTATCTCCTTCGAGGTGGATGGAGAATCGGCGATACGCGCGTGCGACTGCTGTTCCTAAAGGGTTGTAGCTTTAAACGTGACCGGAAGTCGAGGTGATTCTCTCATCAGGGTGCATCGATACCGATTCGTATGATTTCTGTCGAGAATCGTGAGAAACGTTTCGCTCACTTGAGATTGTTTCGGTGTATTTATTTGTTTCGAGTAATGCGAGGTAACGGAGTGTACTCGTTGCTGTTGAGCAACCGAAAAGATGGTTAAATTGGATTTTTAAATGGGAAGCTACAGGATCGTTAGAAATAATTTCGATGTGCGCTTTGTTAGAAACAAAGTGAAATAAAAAGAAGAAAGAACGAAATGTTTTCTTAACGTTGTATCTTGCTAGAAGATATTATTTCGTATGAATTTATTTATTTTTCTAGTTGAGCCCTACTTCTCTCTACTTTCTTTTTCATGCATATATACATGACATATGTTTTCTATAAATATTGTAATTTTGGTCAATGAGATATCGATAGAATTATGTAGATTTAATTTTATTAAGTATATCGAACGTACGGTAGAAATTGAAAGAGAAATAAGATACACGGTCGAGAAATATTCCGTTCACTGATTTCGTGTCTTGTACAAGCATTGAAATCACCAGATTCTCTCGCCTATGCAACGCTCTTGTAGCTTCTCGAATAAACTCTTGAAATTTCGCTTAATCTTTCGTTAATCTTGTCTCCTAACGATGAAAGGCTTAATAAATATAAAGGACGTAAAACCGGTAATTACCAAAGACAAGTTGTACGTAATTTACCATTTTTCAATGTAACCTACGGATAACATAGCCATTAATGAAAATCGTAAAACGGCGGATTAATGTCTTCTGACGCAAAGGTAGACGTCCATGTAGAATTATGATTTCCAATTCTCATGCACATTTCGATTATACGAATGCAATTAGGAAGCATCTTAGAAGATATTTTATTTCCATAGACGTACGCATGGAAGTAATTGGAAAATGAATTACGCAATGAACTATGTACTGCATATGTACGTATTATGCATTATTACCAACATTATTTCGCTTCATGCTCAAAAGTTTCGCCATTTCAATATTTCTATTTAGTATATCAGCCACTCTTTCCAAATACTGCGATCTCGGTTCTTCCGAGGTCTCGAATCAGACGTTTTCTAAATATTCTTCGAGTCTACATTTCCTCGAATATTCCAAACTTCGACTGACATCGACGAAACGAGTTGTTCATTTTCTTAAGAAATTAACTGCGAAGATTCGATTTTTCTACGACCCTTGAACGTTGCTCGACCAGTTTCACGAAATATCGATCGAAAGATTAAGCGAGATCTCGAGCTTTCGAAGCGCGACAGACACCCGATGAGAGGATTCCGCGTTTCACGCGACACGTTATCGTCCTACGCGACAAGCTTCACCGATTCTGCGCTCGTTTCTCGGTCGCGGGACCGGAAACGCGCCGTGAGCGCGGGGACTGGCGCCGCGTTCCAAACGAAACCCGATAGTCTTTCAAATAATCTTTCAAATTTCGCAGCTGTGGTCGAGCGAAGGACATTCGATGGCGACAACGCTGCAAAATCTCGACTCGATCGCGCTCTGTCTTCTAAAGAATGTTAATTCTAAAGAATGGAAGATTTGTATCGTATCTTGAGCGATTAGGTCACGTGTATGTGGAATCGTTGAACAATTGAGAAACGAGGAGAAGCACTCGGGAGATTATAATAAATCGTTCGATTGAATAAGAAATTGACAGTAAATCGACTCGTAAGTATTTGTCTAGTATCGCTTTTCAGAGTTTAGTTTGCTTCGCGAACGTGGTCACGCTGTTTCGCACCTAATTTTACGCGAAAGAAGCTATAGTTTTGGCGGCTATCTACTTCTTGATCGAATAAACGAAAGGAACGAACGTTCGAACGAAAGGATTTCAAGGATATAGAGACTGTCGCCAAAGGATTCAGCATCAGCGAACACATTCGAACGTTGGAAAAGAAAGAACGTTGAAACTGAAATTGCCAATCGATTATTAAAAATAAATCTGCATTCTTATTTACTTTGACGGCTCTCCTGGTTTCCGACTGTCAGGATTCCAACGCAAGGATGTGATACTTTTGAATGGAAACGAGACGTGGGTCTCCGTTCTCGAGATCGAACTTCCGGCTTCCGAGTAATCGATTCGACAACCTTAATGTTCCTACTGAAAGTAGCCTAAGTGTACATAGCGCACATACATTCGCCGAGCGTGAAACTCCCGAGAAGAAGCTCGAGGGTTCGATCGATGCATAGATTCGTAAGGTGAAACGAGAATGAGAAGCATAAGAAAATGGTCCAGCGTGGCGGACTGACTATTACGAAGCTCTTAAGGCTAACCACGCGTCGAACTCAGAGTAAACTTTTCGATTACATTGTCGTGTCATTTTCTTCAACACTCAAATTTGCCAGACTTCTTCGCGGTCAAAATGTTTCTCGCGTTATCGTACTTGTATTTGCGATAGACGAGGACCATTCTGCATTCGCGACAAATTTAACGATATAAAAATAATACGGAGAAATATATCTTTGGTGGAGGAGCAAAGGGAGTATCAGACAGAATTACAAGTTTCTCAGAGATTATCACAGTTATAAAACTCTCGTAAATTGTTAGAAATTCTTGTAAACTTGCAAGATTAAAACACTTGTGATATCGTATTTAAGATGCGACGTGAGATGAGGTGTTAGATTTTCGTTATGTTACTGGAATCTCAGGCGAAGGGAGAAAGAAGTGAAATTGATTTGTGTTATTGGAACCATAAGCGGAAGACCGCAACGTGGAAAGTATTAACGTATATTTATTTTACGTTTAGTAATCTGTCGAACGAAAGACTTGTATCGTCTCATCGGCCCACCAGAGATATAAAGTACCCGAAGTAAAATATTATCCGCTGCATTCATGTCGATGTCGCGTGCATATCGTAGAAACACGCGTCGAATCGAATGCGAGATACGCGCGGATCACGCCTGTATTTTGTCACTCTGAGTTCAATATGAAACTAGGTCGAAGGAATTTATCATTGTGGGGCTAGTGAACGTTTTCATTGACTAGATGATAAATGAAACCGACGATTCGTATTCTCATTGCGAATTCGTGTTATTGTTCGTTTTTCTCTCGGCGACGAAACGACCGCCATTACAGGTTGGAGCATTTTTTTTTTTTTTTTTTGTAAAAAAGTAAAACTGGAAAAAAAGGATCGTTCTTTTTTCTACGGTTATAGCAAACGCGACTTGGATCGTGTTTTTAAGGTTCTTAAGTGTAAGTCATGTTGTACGTATAGTTCTTTCAGTGCCTTTTATATTGTCTCCAGTGTTGGGTGTACGAGAGTTCATTTCGCCTCGCCGATATACCTTCTCTCGGTCTTTTCTTTCGTTTATTTTATACTTTGCAACTTGATACGATACACGAGACAAATTATACCGCGTAAAAATTATTAGACAGCTCTGCGTGTCATTTTTTCTGTAATTCGTTTTCTGTATTTCTATAATCTCGTGGGAGCATCGTTTGATTCGCAGTCGAGGATGATCGTAATCTTCGTTCGATCTATTTATGGCGAAAGGATCTCAACGCAGATGGAGCGATGAATATTTGTAAGTAAAGTTGCGTTAACGACGAAAGAGAGCGAAGAGGAAGCGTTAGCTGAGAGACAGGCGAAGAGAAAAGGTTTATCCGCGAGCCGTGTAACCGAGGGATGAAAGTATGTGCTTCCAGAGCGTCCAAAAAAAAAAAAAAAAAAAAAAATCGATACATTCCAAAACGTGTGAAATCTACGTGGTAAATCCATAAAACGGGCGTGAGTGTGTCATGCGATTTTCCGAATTCTGGCCGATATCGATCGCTGTATTTTAAGTGCTAGTCACTTGTTATCGTAAATTGAGAAAGAATAAAATTCTTTTGTTAAACCTTCAGAGAATTTGATTTGCCATGGTCAGCATCCATTCTCTCCTTTCTTCGTGTCCGCTCTGTTCACCCCATCTTCCATCCAATAGCAATCTTTCCGCTCCAAATTGTATAAAACTTTCCGATAATCGATTCTTTCTTCCTACGCTTTTCTACAGATCCTTCTTCTTCCTCTGTGATTTTCACTTGCAGTGGCCACTTTTCAATTCGAAATTACGTGAAATTCCCTGTATCTCATTGTTCTTATATTTTTCTACAGGTACTGTAAGCTTTTTCCCACAGGTTGATACGTAGGTTTTAGAAAGGCACGATAAACGACGATAAACTTAAGATCACTTTCCACCGCACGGTTCAATAATTCATCAGCGTCACCTGATAGCACATTGGTTTTCTTACGCAGCTTAATTTACGCTACATATATTTCTATATTGTCTCTTCGTGTTAATATCTGACGTGACGATAGCTTGTCACCGTTGTAACCGTTTCGATGCAAACTTATCATACACATCAAAGTGAAGATATTTGAATTGCAAAACACTCGTAAAAACATTGAAAAACACGATAACTCGGACGGGACTCGGCAGACTTTCGTCTCTCTACAACCTCCGTCTCCACAGTGCGTGAATTCTTAAAAAAGGATACACCCTGACGGCTCCGCCACGGCAAAATTAGACGATCCGCTTGGAAAGTCGCGAATGACGAGTCAAGCGAACCAGCAACGATGGGGCTGACCGAATAACTAGCGATTCGGGCCAAGGTTTCGGGTGCAACACGTGTTTGTCAGCCGTGATACAGAAATAAAATACGGCGCGGTGTTCACCACGCGTGCACACGCCCTCGACGATGTCGATAACTCGTCGCGGGTAATATCATTCGTCAATGATGTCGAGAGAAGGATAGGAGAACGAAGCTGACCGACTGGATGGAGAAAGATCGTGCAGAAATAAAGAAACCGATGGAATACTGGTGGTATATTCTGCTCATCCTTACTGCGTATCCTCAATAGTCTTAAGGACCTATCATAAATCTCAGTAATTTGCTAGCTAAGGTCCTTCAGACCGGACAAATATCCTTTTTTCTGAATCATTTTTTAAAGATTATTGTCTACTACGGTTTGACAGGGGAAAGTTAGTTTTTCTCACGTACGATGCTTCCGACTAGCAACTTTCTATCGAGGGCGGCTAAGACCCTTCCTAGTCTACCAACCTTCGTTTATCCATTCAGAAGCATTGTCTACTGCCCTCACTTTCCTCACCAAAATTATCATCAACAAATCCGATGGTCCCGTGCGCTAGACACACCCATCGCTAGCTTTCCTCCGACACAGCATTGGCACTGTGACTTACTTATTCTTCAACGTTAGAATAGTCAACAAGTCATTATCGGGTTACTCTCCTGAAGTACGTACACAACAGTGTACCTCATAAGTGTTGGAAATATAACCTTTATAACCCTGTTAATTACAGTCTTATATTATCTTAACCAGCTCTATTATCTTAACGAAAATGAGGGGATCTATCAACTCGTGGTGTCGATTATTATAATCGTAACGGGAATTTACGACTTCCGTTGACGTGTTTCCTCGCGGTCGAAAATACACAAATAGTTTTCGTTGGAGCTTCACGAGTGACCGAATAGAGGAAAAAGCGCGTAGACACGGAAGAAGTGGTAGCGCGGTGAGAAACTTGTTCGGAGGAGAAAGAAATCGCTTGCGCGATTTTGAAGATGCTCCGAACGAATTTTCCGCGTTACAAGTTGAGCATCGACCGGGTGGAAGAAATACGCGCAGCAATGAAAGAACCGACGTGGCGACTCAGAAGAGAAAAAGTGATTTCCTCGAAAGCGAAGTAAACGATGGAAGTGAGAGAGTAGAAGACCTACGATTTCGATTACGATCCTTCAAGTAAGCTTCAGGGTGGCTGAGAAGTTCAAAGAACGGGAAATCCCACGATCTAAAAGCGATCCTCGTCGAAATTATCGTTCTGTCACTGTATTTCGTTTGATTTAGACAAATTTCATAAACAGAAACTCGTCAGTGTCGCATACTCCGTTTAGTTATTATGGCCCACGATATAACCCGCAACGAAAGAACCCTAACAACGAGCTAGAAACTTTTCTGTGGAAATTAATGGAATTTAACGACGAAAAGTATCACAAGCACGAACTTTC